TATATATATATATATATATATATATATACACACATATATATATAGATATATACACACATATATATATATATATATATACATATACACACACAAACACACACATATATACACACACACACACACACTCAGTAGCCTGAGGAAGTCATCCAGGCCACTGTGCGGCTATGTGACTAAGGTACACTTCTCACCTCAATGGCTGCAGAGACGCCGGAGAGGGACAGGCCTTCCAGGTCACTCAGCAGGCTGGGTGAGAGAATAGAGGCCTTGGGCACGGATGCTGAGACGGGGTTGACTGCAGGGACAGAGCATGTGGAGTTAGTTAATGGCCGGGCATCACTCAGGCAGCGAGACCTGATGCATACACCACTCACGCTGAATACCCAACCAAGTGTTTATAAAAATGGACACTTAATAACAATTATGGCTGTCAGGCTGAACAAAAGTGTTCAAAGCCCCCTAATACTATGTATCATATCTAACACATATCATGATCTGCGTATCATCCACTATCCAGCAGCTCAGGGACATGACATGCAGAGCAGAAGTCAGGCTAAGAAGCTTGGGAGACATTTATCACACACTGTTAGTTAAACCCAGTTAGTTCTCCATAGTGCTCATCACGCTAAAGAACAACAGGCAGGTAAGAAAGACAATCTGACTGAATAACCTGAAATACTGTGAAAATTAATTAGGGAATTACAAAAACATAAACGCGTTTCAGAAAATTTCCTACTAAATGTATAGTCCATGTTCAATATTATTATTATTATTATTAATGACTGAATGAAAGAATAAAAAAATAAAACCAATGCCATCATAATGCTGCCAAAAATTGCATCAATTCAGCGAAAGAACTTAGAATACACTGAAATTTTATTGGAAGTTACAAATGGCAGTATTTTGCAGAAATAACTGATAGTCAAACTTACAGTCATCTAAATCCAGCAAGGACACCTCCTTTTTCACCTTTACTTCAGCCTATAAAAACAAAATAACAATGATTAGGAAACTCAGCAGAACAGGCCACTCTATTAGCGCTAATAACGGGGGACAGACCAAACGATGCCTTCGTTAACCACCGGAACTGTTCGCAGCTCAGATGAGCGCCTAACAAATTGGAGGTAGAGCTGACATGCCAGCTTGCAGGTTGTCCCGATCGCGGAAGATCACTCTGCGTGTGCACGTCTCTCAGATCAGAGCACGGTGACCCTGGTGATTACCTCGATTTGGCCACTGGCAGCAAAAACAGCCGGAAGGACAAATTTCCTTTTCAGAGGGATAAACGCACAGAGTGCTGCTGTGGAAAAGTGGGCAGAGATACTGCTTTTGACATTTTACTACAGTGAAGAGCCAGCAAAGCACCTGAAACGCATCCTGACCACTTTAGCTACTGGAAAGACTGCTGTGTCAGCAGGACAGGCACGACGACACAGGAAAGCGCTTCAAAAGTGTTCCAACAACAGCTTTTCATTTTTCACCAAGCGGTAGAAAAATCTAAAAATTGTCTTCTTTGGTAGACTTATTGATTGATGAAATGCATGAGAGCATGTTTCTGTAAGAAGTGGTACCTACAGAATCTCTAACATGGCCAAGAAAAACACAAATTCAGAGTTTCCCAGGAATGAAAAAAAAAACTTAATACCACACATGAAGTTTACAAGCGCTGAATATTACTGTTACACATAATATATGTGTTATGTTATTTAAAAAAAATAAAATACACCTTACGACCTTTTCAGATTATACAATGAATAACTCATCCCATGCCACCCCAACCAGGAAAAGAGGTTAGTGGATGAATGAATGGAAAACTAAAAGTCAGCATCAATATCTGACAAAACTCAACATATAAATTTAGGATCTCCATCACAAACCATCACAGTGTAGACGGACAGGTAGCACTGCGCATTAAGCGGATTTTGACCACTGGGGGAACACAACCGCATGAAGCCCTTTGTCTAGCAACACAAGAGAACAAAGGCAAGGATGGAAATTCCCAATTCAATGTCAACAACCAAAAATGCGGGTAAACAAAAGATTGCAAGGAATAAGGGCTGAAACAACAGAGCCGAAACTGAGATGGCGTGACACAAAGCCTCCTCTCTCTCCAACGTAAACCATCATCCAAGAATGTATTCCTCCACCCAAAAAGTCAAGGGTCAATTGTTTGGGCACCTGAAACCAGCAGAATTCCGGAATTTGGAGTGCCAGAAGGTGGAGGCCATTTCCCACTGCGCTCTCCATGCATTACCACAAGCCTTTGGTACACTATGATCACTGTGCTACGCAGCCTTAACAATAACCAACTCGAACCTGGAGAGAAACATTTAATCTCACTGAGAAAACAAGATTAAAAATGAAATAAACATATACAAGTAAACATATCTTGCGGAAAAATAATATACGCAACATACTGCGTCAGCTTGCATTCAGCATTCAGGTCTGACAAAACGTCTGGCATCGATATCAATTCTACATCTACATTTTCTCCTGTGTAATTTTCATTAAACAGTCGCGCTGCTCAGCCATCAGAAGTGACGCTCTCGTTCCACGTGGCTCACGGTAGGATGACCTCGCACGGCGGGAATTACAGAGCGCGCTCCGCTACTCAGCCAGTCTCACTACATCGGGCACGATGAGAGCGCATTTTAAAGTTACGGATGCGTTTCCTATACACATAACCCCCCCCCCCCCCAGTATCAAAGAACCATAAAATTTCACTCTGATATTACAGACAAAAAGAAGTCTCCCAAAAGAGAAGTCTAATGCCAAAAACAAACAATGAAGTCAAACGCATATCCTATCAAATATTCCCCAATCGGCTATTCATCTTGGTAATAGAGACGGAACTTGGGAGCTCCACACAGGGCTTGAAGCGTGAGATTGAGGATTTCTCTGGCACAATGCATAATTCATGGACCCAGCCAGCAAAGTGTGTAAAATGAGAATTTCACAGCGTGGAAAGAGCAACGGAGCCAGGGAGAAGAGGCAGGAGAAATCACATTCCACTGTGCAAATTTTATTTCTCAGCCTCTCCGCGTTCGCGCGACGGCGCCATCGACGGATCCTCCGTCGTCGTGTCCCTCCTGACGAGCAGATCAGGAGACGAGAATTTAGATAAACAGGATGGGTGGGAGGGGGTTCTTCAGAGATTTGGTTACTTAAAGGTGCGTGTTTCATGCAACTCAATGAGCTGAAAAGACGCGATAATTTATGGTGCGTGCGGTAACAAAAAATGAAGACTTCACAATCGACCATCTGATCACAGCAGAAATACTGCAACAATGTGGGAAGATCAGTTGATATACAAATGCATTCAAATAACCGAACGATAAATGTATTGCACATCTTACAAAAAAAAAGATAAAATTAAGATAATATAAAATAAAAAGATAAAAAAATAAATATATACTGAGAAAGTGTTATAAAGACATAACTGTAATAATTAATAATAGTGGGAACTATGACGAGGACAAAGTATTAATGTAATGGTGCAATACAGTGAAAGTCAGGACAAAAAAAAAAAAAAAAAGACCATTAGCACAATGTCTATCTGCAGTTCGCCAAAATGCATGTTCCACGCCTGCTTTCTTTGATAAAAGCCTTCATCTTGTTAACGATCATTAAGAGGAGTGTGATGGAACTGCACGGATTATCACACTCCATCTAAGGGGCACGTGACACTGATCTTTAACTGTGTCACCGGGGCAATGAGAGGCATCTTGATTGAAATGAGGGTCGCTGAGGTGTCCCACGTCGGACTAGCTGCAGGTCCAAAGCATTGCCTGCTTCATGTGGAGGCCTGGTCTCAGATTGCATCAGCGGTCTGTGGGACGGCCTTTCAAGCAAAACCTGAGGCCTTCTGGTCGCTCGCGAGCTATCCATCATCCACCCAGGTTTACCAGAACCACGTTTGCGGTTGTCATTTTTAATCTATTACAGCAGGTTTGGTCTTCTTAAATAAAGAAGAAAGACTCTCAATGCACCCAAATATTAAATATCTATTAATAGTGAAGACTAGTGATGTAGTCAAGACCACCTAAACCAAGACCAAGTGAGTACTAAGGCCAGAGTGTATCAAGACCAAGACAAGACCAAGACAGGGTGAGACCAAGTCAAGATTAGAAACAAGTTACATAATACAACACACAAAATGTGGCGCATAGGCACCATCATGGGGCAAGGCAGTATGACTGAAAAAAATTGTGCCACAGTATAATTTGAACCATGGATGTTTTTTTCTCAAAATTTCAATACAAATGTTTCTGTACAAATGTAACATTTTTTTTCCCCAAATAAGATGCACCTTATTGGTTGCATTTGAATTTTAAAGCAGGATTACACCCAATTACAGTACTGTGTTAACCCTTAGAACCCTATCCATTTTTGAGCATTTTTCTATCCTTTCGATTTTAGGCTTATTATATTGTATGTACATGAGTTAGCCATACTGTATATGCTTTATGGTTTTGTTTTCAGGACATTCTGGGCTACTTAGGTGTCATAATTTGATATGTAAATGCTGACAGTCTTGATATTATCCTTCATATGAGGAAAAATTACTTGCGTGTATTGAAATTGTAAATTTTTTGTCTCATCTAATACAGAAAATCGCAGGCATTACAAATATAATCTTATAAGATGTTGAGATTAGAGTCTCGATGTGGGAATGCAGGGGTTTCATTGGGGGCCTTTCTATGGCTTAGTACTGTGATCCATTTAGCAATTTGTTGAAATTATATGAAAGACAGCAATGCCTGGTTTTATACATTTTTTTATTTATTACTTTATAAACATCTGAAATTGAAATATAAAAGCACTGTTTAGTTTATAATCCACTCAAACACAGACATTTTAGAGTCTAATGCTGAATGTTTATCGCTATAATTTTTTCCCGCCTATATATATGCTGTGAGTGGTAAAGTGAAATTTGAGAATGAAATTTTTGGTCGGCATTTTTGCCTCAAACAACAAACCAACTCTGCAGTACATCATTGTGTTTACATGTAGGAGGTTGTCCAGTTATACGATGGGTGCGTCTATTTCAACTGATTTGACGGAGCTCAACATCAAACATACATATACAAACTTTTGTGAATAAATATCAAGTAATTGTCTTCCTAATAAATAGAATGCTACATTTTGTTATTTCTAGTAGAACTCCAGCCCATTATTGAGTGTTTTTCTATTGCTTTATTTATAGGTTTATAATAAATAAATCATAAAATAAACATTTTGGTAACACTTTCTATGAAGCCCAAATTCATAAAGCCTAGTAACTGTTCTGATAATTCACTGTAATATTCATAATGTATTACAGACACAACTATAAATATTTATAAAAAGGCATAACACATTACAGTCATGTTTATAATGCATTATGAATGATCTATGAAGGTCTCATTTATAATGCACTATGAATACCTTCATAATGCATAATAATAGATGGTATAACAATTAAGGATGCTGTGTGCTGCATTATGAAGGTATTTATAGATGAGACCTTCATAGAGCATTCATAATGCATAATACACATGACTATGTTATTCCTTTTTATGAATAGATATAGCCTGTTTATAATGGTCTATGAATGTATTATAATTTATTATGAAGGTATGCATAATGCAATAAGTGTAACCAATATTTTTTTCCCCAGAAGGGTAGTATGTGGATAATTGTGGAAGAGAATATGCGCTTTGTTTTCCGTCTAATGTGAATAATATCAATGTTTTATAGATTATTAGGGGTGGTTTTTCATGGAAAATGTTGAAAATATATGCCTCATTGTGCAAAGGATTACTCTGGAATATTTTAGCGCACAACAGGTGGAGCGAACAAGACCGAGTCAAAATAAAGTCGATTCTGAGACGAGACCAAGACTGTAAAAAAGTCTCGAGAACTACACTACTACTGAAGGCTGATAAAAAATACTACTACTAAGGTGAGCAACTTGATAATATTAAACAATACAGAGATCCATATGCCTCCCACACAAAGTGACTTTATGAAGGTGACGTTGTCTCAGCTGTAAAGCGCTGGACGATATACACAGGGCGGGTATTTATTTCTTATACATGTTGCCATGGCAACAAAATCTACTTCTGACAGCTGCAGCCATAGACAGTGACTCACCTGCTATAAAAAAAAAAACTCAGTCTTACATAGAGCTCAACGTCCACAACAATGACGGGGCGTGATCTCCCAGGTGTCCGTGGGCACACGTCACTTCCACTTAAAGGGCCAAAAAAGGAAAACAAACTTGCATGCCAGGTGCCAACCCCATTTGTGGAATGACCTTACTTGTGTTTTTTAATGATTTCTTAACAAATCTGATGCTCACGAAGGGTGCTGCTACACACTCTCTAACAGAACTCTACTGTGATAATTATACCAGAGACTCCAAAACCACCCAAGCTACCTAGGGAAGCATGCTAGAAAGCCACGGCCGTCATTTAGCATAGGAAACCATGCTGTCTGCTAGCCTTGGCTGTACGTGGGTAAGCGGTGTTCTGTATTTAGACAGCAGAACGCCCCTGAAGGACCACACCTGACTTACCTTGGGCTTTGAGATCTGCTTCTGCTCCAGCCCAGCACTGCCATCGGAGTCAGAGTCCGAGTCTGCCTCAGAGGAAGACTGGGAGCAGGAGGAGGAGCCGGAGGAGGAGCTGGCTTTGGGCTGGAATTGGGTGCCTCTTGTTTTGGGTTTTGGTCTGATTGCTGTCTTCTCATCTTCTGAGTAACTGAAAGAAACAATTAAAAAGGGCTGCAGAACCAAAAATCATTTATTAAGTTCGTAAAATATAGGTGCTTTGAAATGCACTAACCTCCAAAGGAATGTAACATTTAGAAAGTCTTAAAAAAAACACAGAAGTAGCCATATGTACAAGCTTGACATCCTGCAGAAGACAGTAATGCCAATAGAAGAGACGGCCCACAGTATAATCCTCACAGCATCACAAGAAAAGATCCCGGCGGCAGAAACTTTCGGGGACCAAAGGGAAACACATCCAAGTCTAACAAAGATGCTGAGGATCAATCTGCGGGCAAAGTTAGAAATAACTACCTTTCTATGCAGCTGGCAAACCAGAACCAGAACCAGAACCAACAAGTCTGCAAGAAGGCTGAAGACGAATCTGTTGTGTTTGCAAAGTTAATTTAATATTCCATTATCAGACTGGATTTTGCCCCCCCCCCCCCCCCAACCCTACTTCAATTCTGCCACATAATGAATGTTTACCTTGCCTGCCTGGGATTTTCAGATGTGGAATTAATGAGGAGAATGTGATGGTAGCTGGCTTTTTAACTTTGCGATGATGAAAAGCCAGTATTAATTTAGGCTACAGATTTCATTTGTTCCGAACAGGAAAAACAATATAAATCACTTTTAAAATCATTAAATCCTGACTTAAATTAACCAAGTCATAATTAGGGCATTATGCTCTGTTTGTTATGGAAGCAGTGGGGTGAGCTGCTTTAATTAGTGTCTGTAATGGAGGGAGCGGCTAGGCCAGTACCATCACGGCCGGGGCAAGACCCACCGTGGGCTGGGGGGGGG